AAACTAGTCAACAGGGTTTTCAGGCTTTGCTATGGAAATGTCGTATGTTCTGGCCTGTTTCAAGATGCCAACGACTGTTTGCTGTGTCTTTTGGCATCCCCAAGAGGGAAAAGGTTAGCTATTTCAGTTTTATGACATCTTCCAGTACTGCATTACCAGTAGATCCCAAAGGAACTGATGTCTTTTCTACCAAGAAGAGGTCTGAAATTGATTATGAAGAAGGAGAAGGATGGGATGAGGAAACTAAAGAGATACCTGAAGGGAAACTCCACTTTTCTTCCTCTGTTGGAGCGCCAAAGAAACGGTTAATGAATCAAATTCTGTCAAGACATAAGTTTACCAACGTACAGCCTCCAGAAAAACCTTTGCAGGCTGAAGAATGGAACAGACTGAGAGAAAGCTTTCAATCACCTGAAATATTTGAAGAAGTGATGTTTAACAGTATGATCAGGTGCAACAGCCCCATTGATGTGGCTAAGTCCTTGCTGACCCACGTGGCAGAGAGTAATGGTGACATTGCATATAATTTGTTGATCAAATATCTGGCATTGTGTGTCCAGCAGGGGCAAACTTCAGAAATTTGTGATGTGTATGACATAATGAAAATCAGATTTAAGATTTTAGAAAGTGGAGCTTACAACCTTTTTATCAGGGGGTTGAGTAATTCAGATCAATGGAGAAAGGCTTTGACTCTTTTGGAAGAAGTAAAAAAGATTATGATTCCCTCACGAACAAACTATGAATCCTGTATCAAAGCAGCCAGCCGTCACCAAGAAATGAGTCTCGCATTTGAACTTTACCATGAAATGTTGACTAAGGATTTGGTCCCAACCTTGGATGTCCTGCAGGCCTTTTTTGACTTCAGCAGGGGTATGAAAGGTGCTGAGCTACAAAAAGAGCTGTTTGGTATTCTCTTATATTTGAGAGACAACCAAATATACCCTCACAGAACATTTATGCGGAGTATAAAGCTATGGTTTGAAAGGTAAATAATGTTGCAATAGCAAGTTCCAGTTCATGAGGGTGACATTCAGATTATTCCACAGCATCTCATTTTGGTTGTTGCTTCTCCATGAGAAGCAGCATTCCATTGTCATTAAAAGATATATTTTATTTTTGCTCCAAAATTAGTGTAGAAGTGTAAAATTCTTACTGATTTCAGCTTTACTTGAAAGATTTTATCTGTTAAATGTTACTCCTTGGTACCGAAAGTAGGGAATTCTAATGGGTCATGGCTGTCCAAAATATCTGATTTAATCTCTTTCTGGGGATGGTACATAAGGAATATTGACAGGTATGAGGGTTTTTCCTGTAATCTGTCAGAGTGTAGAAGTAGTAAGTTATTTGAAAATTAGGTAGTTTCTCTCTTTAAAGGAAAGAGGCAGCAAATTTAGCATGGGTGCATGGGTGAAGTGAAGACTAAGTGTTGACTTTGTATAGAATAGGAGAGAGGGACAACATAAACTGGGGAGGTTGGTGGTGATAGTTCTCTGCAAGTTGTTAAATGGTGTTTCTTTATATAATATTTTCACATGTTGCTAAGTTATATATTAATCTTTGTATGATTTCTTTGCAGAGTAGATGATTGATTGGTCTTTTATTTCTAAATGTTGATCAAAAAGGAATTATTCTTTAGCTGTAATTCAGGTATTGTTAAATAAGAATCTAATGTTGTTGTTCATCTTTCCCTCTGTACATATTAGTATACCAGGAGGGAACTGGAGAGGACACCTGACCAACATTAAAGCCAGGTAAATGCAACATTTTATTTAGAAGTGAGGTGTTGTCTTGATTATTCTGTCTTGAACTCTTCTTTCATAAGTGTAAAAAATAGCTTTCCTTATATAAGAATATGTTTTGATCCTTGAGAATATGAACCTTTGTTGTGTACCTAGGATTTCCCAAACTCCAGTTTCCAACTCATTCTTGTGCATTAAGCAAGACCCAGCATGCACATTTGGAAAGGAGTTATGCTCAGCAGAGCCAAGACAGAAAAACGGCGAGAAAAATAAGAGCTGCCATTGTACTGGGTGGCTTATCTGTTTACTGTGGAGTGAAGGGCTTACTTTTTTGGTTGGCTGTATAATACCATTGTTTAACACCATATTTAACAGAGCAGCTTTCGAGTGTGAATCCAGAACTGTTTTTTCTTAAACTGAATTTGACAATTTAATAGATGTCTTCTTGAAAACATACTATCCACGTGCTGCAGTTAATTTGTGCAGATGGAAGGGTTCTCCACTCCCACCTGATTTTCAGTGAAGACAAAATGATTCTTATTTTAAGTTTTCACAGGGTTAACTTGGGTATGTGTTTCTACTACAGCACAGTTTTCTTAATGTCTGTAAATTCCTATTTTAAATGTTATTCTGTTTGAAACCTAGTTCTGTGTTTCTGTAGCAATTTGGCAACTATAAATGTACTAATTATAAGTCTCCAATAGATTATAGGGTTTTTTAGTGGTTTATAAAAATAGTGTTTTATACTCTGAAGTAAAACCACATGCAGAGTCTGCTGCTGTTGAAGCCCATGAAAGAACAGCATAACTTGCTGTCCTAAGAGTAGTTGTTGTTTACTGTAAGATGGATTATTACTACATATGAATGTGTGTGTGTTACTATACAGTATTATGATAATTCATTAAATTCTAGACAACCTTTTTCAGCCTTTAGAATTTTAAAATTCTAAATTTGATTGTCGTGGTTAAGTGGTAGCTTATCTTTACTGTCTGTTTTTTCTTGAACTGAATTTGACAATTTAATAGGATTATTTGTAGGTTATTCTGATTTTGAATAAATACTGGCAGTTATATCTAAGATGCTCATATCTAGGATATTTTCTTCTTCCTTTAGCACTGAGCTCCTAGTTTCTTTGAACTGTGATAGAAGCTTGAACCCCCTACAAACAAACCTTGAAGTTTGCTGCCCATTTTTCTTTGAGAGTTACAAAAGCTTTGGATTTCCAAAATGAGCTATAGAAAGCTGCAGCTCAAGTTTTTTGAGCCTGTGTTCATGTTACTGTAGCATATCTGACTTCTGCTTGATACGTAGGCACTGTGATACTCCAAATCTATCTCAAAAAAGTAGTTAAATGGTCAATTAGCTGTAAGGACAGCTATATATCCTACAGAGGTGAAAGGGAATTTCTTGGCATGAAATCCTAAAATGATCAGTGAGAAGCTGCAAAAATTGCAACATAATTTTAAAGGTATGGTTGTGACAAAGTAGCAGTTAGACTAAGGGTCCGGTCTTGCAAGCTGCTGAATGTTTCTTGAGTCTGCTTTGCCTCTGCTCTCTTTGGGAATCCACATTAAGAATTCACAAGAAGAAAATGGCTTCAGGAGCTTTGGTTGTTGATAGGTAGTTGGGGTGGGTTGATTTGTTGGGGCATGGGAAGGTTTGTTTTTTCCAAATAATCTGAAATCAGTAGTTGCAAAAGGATCCAGGTTAACTATGGGATAGGTCCCTAAACTTTAGGCTTAATGATTTTGAAATAGTCTCATAACAGATCGTTAGGCCTTTCTTCTCTGTTGCCAAAGTGTGAAGTTCCTTAATGCAATTAGATGCATTTAATGGTAACTTTACAGCTGTGTGAGGAGCCAGTCTCATTGCATTTATTAATATGTAGGCTAAGCCTGCAGTGGCCACAGTGGGTTGAGCAACTGGAACGTATTGTTTGTATGAGACTATGCAGCAGTGAATGTCCATTGTTGGGATTCCATGCGTAACTTTTTTTGATTCAGTAAATGCGCTGTCAGCATTGCAATTAATGCAGTCTTGGCTTATGGTCTTGTGCATTAATGTATACTGGACATCAATTATTGGGAGAATTTAGCTTTTCTGAACGCCATGGTTTTAGAAAATTACCATGACTTAGCTTTGGTGTCTCTAGGATATCTCTGTGGAGACAGCCAGGGGAGAATAACTTGTTCCGTTGGAACACTTAAAGCTCTAATCCTACAATTCAGTTCTGAGATTGTGCTTGAGAAAATAAGATATTTGGATGGATCTAGAGAAGAATGGTTACTCCTTCAGTTAAAATCATGTGCAGCTGGGTGAGTATAGGCTTCTGAACAGAGCATGATAGAAAGGAAAAATGTGAAACATCAAACATATCCTGCGTATAAGAGAAGCCTAAGTGGGAGCAAGTGGCAAAGTTGTCATTATTTGTCAGCCAGGAGGAACCAAAGACCCATTCAGACTAAGTGTTATTTTACTGTCTGTTGGAGAAACTACTAGATTCTGCTTGCTTTCTTGGTACTGTGGCTGGAGTGCCCAGTCTGGTGACGAAGATGCAAGCTGGATCTCATGTCTAGTATTCTTGGCAGAAGTGCTTGGGAAGAGACACAACTGACTGAATTTCCTTAGTGTATGTTAATGTAATATCTGACTGTTTCTTCTTCCTTTTTCATGTAGTTATTAAAGAGTTAAGCTTGGAAAAATTTCTAGGTTTAATCCACAATCAGAGATGCAAGTCAAGAAATGTTCCCATGAAGTCTATGTATATGTATCTCATTGTTTTGTCTTTAGAAAATGTATCTGCAAAACTTTCAGATAAGTTTTTTAGGAGCAAAAAAAAGAGGTTAATGTAGTTCACAATTCAAGTACAGAAATGCAGATTGTTTTGTCTCAGTCCTCCACTGTTACCCTACCTTACATGCGGCTTTTGTGGTGGGCCTAGAGGTTCATGGTAGTGATGCATGACATACATTTTTGTCCTGGGGATGGAGTTGTGCATTGTGTTGATTATGTGTTTAGTTTATAGGGGCTCATGGGAGAGACAACTGGGAAAGAAAAAAATGAACAAATGGGACATAGAAGCGATAACAGTTCCACTTTGATTTCCTTCAGACTATGTGTTAGGGAAGAGGTTGTGGCTGTTGTGAAACAACAGAAAAGGCTAGATATTAAGAGATGTTTGTTCTTTCTCTCAAGATATAGTTCTAGGGGATCATACAAAAATCCAGAGGTAGCCATGGAAGTTAGGCCTGTCTTGTTTTGCATCTTGGAATTATTTGTGTGCTGTGCTAGCAGGCTGTAGGAAGAAAAACCTAACTGAGCAGTTGACATGGTTCTCGTGGTTGTGGTTTGTTTTGATGGCCTTTCCCAGTGCTGGCGAGTTTTTGCAGCACTAGGTTGGTTAGACAAAAAGTTATGCCTCTTGGCTGGCATGGATCTGTGTGTTCTCTGTAGCGTTTCCTCACTCATGCTGTTCTGGAAAATTTTTCAGGATCTGTTGTGACATGCCAGCACTCTTCTTTGGGCCCCTCACTACAAGAAGGACATTGAGTTGCTGGAGCGTGTCTAGAGAAGGACAACGAAAGCTGGTGAGGGGTCTGGAGAACAAGTCTTATGAGGAGCGCCTGAGGGAACTGGGGCTGTTCAGTCTGGAGAAGATGAGGCCGAGGGGCCTCATCACTCTACAACTACCCTGAAAGGGGGTTGTGGTGAGGTGGGTGTTGGTCTCTTCTCCCAAGTAACTAGCGATAGGATGACAGGAAATTGCCTCAAGTTGCTCCAGGGGAGGTTTAGATTAGCTATTAGGAAAAATTTCTTTCCTGAGAGAGTCGTGAAACACTGGAACAGGCTGCAGGGAGGTGGTGGAGTCACCATCTCTGGAAGTGTTCCAGAAACATGTGGACATGACACTTCAGGACATGGTTTAATGAGCATGGTGGTGCTGGGATGATGTTTGGACTCAATGATCTTAAAGGTGTTTTCCAACCTTAATGATTCTGTGAAACTAAAAAGTTTGAGGTCTGGTTTTTCACATCCCCTATTCTGTTCTGTAATCTTTTCTTGTATGATGGATTTTCAGTCTCTTTGGGTTTTTAATACTAAAAACATACATGGACAAATCAGTGGAGAGTTCTTGTGTGTATCAGAGAAAATGACCTATGATTTGGGATTTGCAGAATCACAGTCGTTACCATAGCCGCTGGACCTGCAACAGGGAAACGAAGAGTACTGAGAAATGGATGATGTGAATGATAAAAGAAACTGTCCCAGTGCTGCATGCAGTCATGTAATTACTGACACAGCTGTGTATGATGGAGTGATGTTTCTGGCTCTGGGAAATGAACACTAAATGATGGCTACTAATCTGTAGGTGCAGAGCTTTTTCACCTGCAGTACTCCGCATTCCTAGATACATGTGATGATATTTAGCCCCTGCTACAGAGCAAGAACAGAAGTTTCTTATCAATAAAGAAGCAAGTAGTGATTAGTCATCAGGAGATAACAACGTAAAGCTGCTTTCTGTTTGGGTGCAGTCAGCCTGATATTAGAATGTCTCTGGTGGAATTGGGCATGGTACAGACACACAGTGCCAGTGGGACTTAGTATTGCTGAGGGCTTTCAAAGCAAACAGTATTTCTGTTTTAGTGACGTTCTGCTCTCAGTCTGTTCACTTCGACCCCCTTGGAGAGATCTGAACAGTTTTAGCCTAGAAATAAGGGGAAGTCTGGTAGCAAAATACAAGTGGCACAAAGGCAGTAGTCTTGCTTTTCCAACCATACAGCAGATTTATGTTACCTTTCCTTTCTTTTTTTTTTTTTCCTTCTTTTGGGCAGGGTTATTCTTACACCTGTGGCAGGTTTGGTTATTCCAAACCTTGATAAACCCCGCACAGATAGCTTACCTTTTTTGTAGGAGCAGTCGATGTCACAATAGCGGAGCATTTCACTGGTGCATTTTCTTGTTGTAACACTTTGGAATGGATTTATAGCTAGACCAAGGCTCTGTGGCCTGCC